GTCCCTAGGCAAAGCTCTCAGAACAAGACGACACACCCCTGAGAGTGAACAGAAAGAAGTGAGGGGGCCCCCCATCTGGCCACACCTGCCCAGGGCCTCCCAGGGGGAACAGCAAGGGATGAGCAAACACTGTGGGGTCCACCTGCCCTGGCATGTGGGGTCCGCTCCCTCTCCACCGGGATGCCTGGCAGGGCTTCCCCCAGTCTCCCCGAGGCCCCCCTCTGGACACAAAGGCCTCGCCTCCATGTGAGACCACAGAGGGAAATGGGGGCTCAGCTGACGCAGCCACACAATTTCAGGTCCTCTCCTGGCTGACGGACAGGAGGGACAGGGAAGGCTGGGCATTGGCATGATCTCTGGCGAGGTCACTCCGTCTGCTCCCACGGCACCTCAAAAGTCCCGGGCCTCCTCCCTCTGCCTCCCTCAGTCCAGCCCTCTGTCCTGACGCCTTGGCTTCCCCAGAGGCCCAAGCAGGGAGTCAGGAGCCATCACATTCCCAACGCCCTCCCCGCCCCCGCCTGTGGCCGCCCCGGGCTGACCGCAGGGGAGCATTTCTGTGGGAGCCCCCGTTCTGGGGTCCAGGGTCCCCATGTTGTCCCTCTGCATCTTCACCTTGACTCCCGGCAAGACCTGGGCCCTCCCTCTGCGGGCCTGAGGCCCTCTCCCCACAGCAAGCCCCAGGTTCTCTCAGACCAGGATGCGGATGTCGGGAAATGCCCACGTGGATATCCCGGGCTGGCTGTGCTCTGGGGTCCACGTTCCCTCCGGCGTCCTTTCCTATCCCTGCACAACCTGGGACCTCCCGCTGCCGGCCTGACGCTCTGCTCCTTATACCAGTGGGCGGTTTGTCTCAGACCCAGATGTGGGAGTCCGGAAACTCCGTGCGTGGTCATCCCGCCCTGAGTCCTACCTCTGCGCCCTCACCTCGAGCCTTGGAAGAACCAGGATCCTCCCTTCTACCGCCCTGAGGTCCTGCTTTATATGGAGTCAGCCCTTGTCTGAGACCTGGAAGCGGGAGTCCGGAAACGCCGTGCGTGGTCATCCCGCCCTCTGGGTGTCCCACTTCCGATGCTGTTCTGGTGCCTAGGGTCCCTCGGTCCTCCCTCTGCGTCCTCACCTCGAGCCCTGGAAGGACCTGGGCCCTCCCTCTGCCGCCCAGGGGCCCTCTCCTCACACCAAGTAACCCGTCTCTCTCGCACCCAGATGTGGGACTGGGACGCGCCGATCGTGCTCATCCCGCCCTCAGTCCTCCCTCTGCGTCCTCACCTCGAGCCTTGGAAGGACCTGGGCCCTCCCTCTGCCGCCCAGGGCCACCGCTTTATATGGAGTCAGCGCTCGTCTGAGACCCGGAAGTGGGAGTCCAGAAACGCCGTGCGTGGTCATCCCGCCCTCTGGGTGTCCCACTCCC